CCAAAGTTCACTTTGCGTTTCTAATCGGAAATCAGACAAACTCCTTTTCATTTATCAGGCAAGGACATAGGTGATGTGAATCACTCAACTGTCTTCACGTACAAGAGTCTGTTTTTGTTGAGAAGGATTTGTAATAATGATATGGATGAAGTGTGAGCTTCTGAAAACACCAAAAATGTAGCCTGCAAAGGAAAATACAAAAATCCATTACTAAATAACCTAAACAAAGCAAAGACCTATCTAATACAGTATTCAAGGTTTTAAAGTCAGAAAGGATTGTGATCATCTGGTACTGCAGGTAGATCACTAGATTAATCATGTAAGTGTTTTGAAGGACTGCATCACTTTTATCTGAGGCCAGAGGAGGATTTATGCTGCTTGTTCTGGTTTATTCTACTACATTGCAACAGTTTGTCAGACAAGAGAAAACCTTTATGTCTACCAGAATACTTTTGCCTTCTAGGAACACAAAAACTAACAGGTACATTTGAAGAGTTGTCAGGGAGAAAGAACAAGAATGCACCTAAAAATGCACCAGAAAAATCTAATGTTACAGAGACAGTGAACTTAAGCTAGGAAAGAATTCCAGGGCAATAAAAAGACACTCAGATCTGACTGTTCCTCTTTATCATTCCCCAGTTGCTGAATGCTGCACAGACAGGCTGGAGGAGACTGTCACAGCAGTACAGCATAAAATATTTTAAAAATAAGTGATTATTCAGGAACGTATTGTGGGGAAAAAAAGTGAAGAATCATATTCTAGGCCAAAGTCATAAAGGCTTAAAAGAAAACTGTAGACAGAGGATGCCAGTAATGCAATACCATAGTACTCCAAGGTTAGTTGCATAGTACAGGACTGTGTGAAGAAATCTAAGTTTCAGACTGAAACGATTCTAAGAAACTAATTTTCCTTAGTTTGCAGGCACTGTGTGGCAACACTGAGAACTGAGCAATTTTTCTATTCACAGTGCAATATCATTAGTAAAGGTAATAAATCAGTGTTATGACAGATCTATCCAAAGGTATTATGCTGTCTCAGATTTTACTTTGATGTTTATATTTCTTTGCCATAGCTTGAGCATGAGATGCAGTTATTAAAAGCATGGGCTGCTGCTGTTCATTTTGCATTTCTCATGCTACAAGGAACTGGGAGGTTAAGAAAAGCTTACAGTTTCACTTAATGTAAGCACACACATGGAATTACAGTATCTTCTTCCATATCCACTTGAACTCTGTCTAAGCACAAAGATTGCTAAATGGTTTTGAGGCTTTTTATACATAACTCATCTTTGTAAAAAAGTAGTTCAAGCTACTCCATTACTGAACCTTTGTAAATGGTACAGAAATGTCACTCCATCTTTCCTTGACTAAATTCAATTTTATGCATTATTCATGAAATCACATCTTGAGGTTTCAAAATACTGTCAGTATGGTGCAATACCCAATCTTGCATATGCTGCCCTACAAGGTAATCAATGTGATTTCCTTGGCAGTCATTTGTTCCATATATTTAAGTCTCAGTTATAACACTGGTTGATGTTTAATGACTTAGAATCTAGATTTTATATTAAAACAATAAGAGTAGAAAACTGCAACAACTTTAGAGTTGATTAATTGACTACTTGGAGACACTCATCAGCTTTGCACAAGTTTAGTCTGCCAAGGCTGCAGCCCAGTTAATTAGCAGTGCTGTGTCTTTTTTAGTCTTCAGACTTGAATAGATTATTACGACAAAATTAAGCTGCAAATTTTGTTCTGCAAGGTGCTAGTTTTATTTTAGCTCCAGCTCAAGAAGCACTTCAGGTTAGATTTAAAGGAACATAAAAGAAGTTGTAAATAGATCTGAATAGCTAAACTAAAATTTAAATCCATACCTTTCCTGTTCTTAGTCTCAGAAGCCAAAATGCCCTGGTTGTGTGATGGGACTGAGCCTAGGAAAACATCAGCTTTTGCTTCTTTACAGCTTTTCCCTGATGTTGTTTGTGCCCACCTGAAATCTGGGCACTTGGTTGAATGTCACTGTCATCTCCTAGAAAGCCTTGAAAATATAACAAGTTCTAAGCTGGTTTCATATGCATTAACAGGGTTTATATAATTCTTTTTCAAAAATGTGATTACAGCTGTTTCTATTTTAAAATAGTATTCAATTTTTACATAAAAGCCTTGTGATCATTTGACTTTGGCAGTGGCATGCCAGAATTGCATCCCTGCATCTCCTACAACCCATTAGCATGCTAGTACCACTACCCTGCGTGGTGGATTTATGGCACTCCCCAATATAAAATGCAGACTTTGTAAAGTGTGTGATGCAGTGTAACAGTTGGCTTTTAATTTTCCAGTGAACTGCTGATCATGTGCTGAATAATTCTTGAACAGGAGACAGAGCACCTTGGCACTGTCAGATCTGATATATCCTTAATTTGAATTTATGAATAACCATGATTGCTATTTTATATATGTATAAACCATATATATACATATACAGACATATGCATGCATATATGTGGTCATGTCTGTAGAAATATATGTATGTTCTGTGAAGAAAAACCCTAGTCTGCTGAAATCAATGAGCACACTCCTATTAACTTGAAAGGAATGAGGATTCAAACCAACATGTGTACTTTCCTCTATCTTTCTGTATGATATATAAGCTTTGAGCACAGTGTATTATATAGCTTTTGAGTTTACTAGATTTTTGCTAGATTATTTTCCTCATTTGAGAGAGGCAATAAACTCATCTAGAAATTATTTAGTAAGTACTACTAGTGGAAGTTGGACTAAATGTGCGAGTAACAGCCTCACAAATTCAGACAATTAAATCTGGTGAGAATTAGCTCATAGAGAAGTCAAAATGTAACTTTGTAGATAAGTATAATTTATATCAGATCTTAGATTTCTGATTTTGTACATAAATAGCATTTCAATAAATACTCTCTCTCAGGAAACAGCCAGCCAGTGAAAATCCCTGAATTTCATGAGATTTTATGGCATGACAGAGGCAGAATGGTGTTCATAATATTAGCTTAAGTATATATATGTGTTGAGTACTGGAGTAAGAATAGGGAATCGACTCCTGATTCCATCAACTTCCAAGTTCTTCCTCTGCTTAATTTTTTAATAATTTCAGGCAAGTTTTCTTATGCCATGTTCTGCATCTCTAAGGTAGGAATAGTAAATTCTTTACCTTTGAAAAAATATTTTGAGACATGTAAGTAAAAAGTGCTAAGCAAGAGCTTTGCATTATTATGGTAATTTTAAAGATAATGATTGTCATCTTAGGAAATAAGTTAAACTGTTATGTGGAACATTAAATGTTTTTTAACTTCTTGAGTTTGAACTGCTATTCAGATTCTAAGCCTAGACTGATGCTTTGTTTGAAACTTCTTTTGAAATCATTTCCACCTGTTTAAGCAGTTTTGACTTTGCTGCAGACATAGTACAATAGTTGCGTTATATGAAGTTAGACTGCTTGTCAAGGATAAAACCTTGGTTTTCCTTGCCTTATATCTCTCTGCTAACTCTATTCCACTATCCGTCTGTTACATGATTTTGTCGCACAAATGGCAGTTGACATATCTGCCAGCCAGATCTATTCCTATAAATTTCCAGGTTTAAGAAATCAGTTTTGCTGTTGTAAGAGAATGGAATATTTCATTAAATACTAAAAGCAAACAAACAAGCAAAACCTTTTGTTTTGGACAATTTTTGTGTAACAATTTCTAAGTTCTCTGAACATTGGGCACAGGCACATATCCTTGTGACCATCACAAGGATAGCTGTGCTGTGTGCAGTGTGACTTATGTAGCATGACTACTAGGGTGCTAAGAGAAAAGTACACGTCCCCTCTACGTGGATAGAAGGGTTTCTGTGAAAGATATGCAGGGAGATTAGACTTTTCTCACCCACACAGGAGAAAGACTTGAACATGTGCTCCACATCTTAGGTATCTACTGCATGTGCTGCACAGCACATGAACAACGTTTGGGATAGGGGACTGCAGAAATATCTCCTCTGCTCCCTTGCACTCAGGCTTTCCTCTCAGACACAGGTTGCCCAGCTTAGAGCCAAGACAGATGCATGTGCGGTCCCCATGGCAGTGCCTAGACCTAAATGAAAACGTTGGTTCTGCAATCCTCACGTGAGTTGCCTGCTGAGGTACTATTATATCTCCTCGAACATTTTATAATTCAGGAGAGTAACATTCCAGGTAGCTTGCTTTTGCAATTTATTCTAACAATAACTATATCTTAATCTGATTTAGGTTTAACACTTTTGGCAAGTGAATGAAAAGCAGATTGACTGCTTAGATTTAAATGAACAGCATTTCATTTATGACAGCATTTTCTTCAAGAATATTTACAATTAAGCTTTGTGTGTGTAAGTTTATTTGTGCATTCCCTAGTGAGCATAATAAACAAGCTTTAGTCACATTAAGGCTGAACTGTTCTCAAAAAGCTTAAAGCTCAGTCTCTGCAGAAAACACATTTTAAAAGAAATACATACTATTCAGAGATTTTATGTCTGCCATAAAAAGGAACAATAAAATAGTCTATAATCACACTTTTGTTCATTAAAATGTCCATCAAAAGCTAAAGAATGGTTAAGCCTGCAGTAGTTAGACTGGCAAGTTTATCTGCAATGGATTCCTAATATACGCTATGGTATTTTGATTATGTTTTTTTTTTCCCAGAAATGACTGAAACCTTCTTTTTCTGAGACTTAAAGGGAAGAAAGAGATTTAATATCAAATGGATTTGCACTATCTAGTTGAACAACAGAGAAAATACATTAAAAACTTTATATTATTGCTTAACAAAGAACACTGAAAGACCTGATAAAAGAAATAGAAGATTTCATTCTGATTATGTTTCAAGAAACATTACTATCACTTTATCCTGCAATTTTTTTTATAATGTAGCAAAAATATGTTCTTTTGAAAGTAGTGTAAAATTCATCAGGAACTTAATTCTTTTAGTCTCTTTCTTATTTATTGCTTGTAGGGGTAAGAAGATTGGGCATGATATAGATTTTTTGATCACCAATCCAGGACCAAGAGATGATGATGATCTTCTGCATAAAGTTGTTGACTTATGGAAAAAGCAGGTATGAAGTAAATAATATTTGTCTAAAGAAGACGTATTCTGACAGCATTGAATAAAGCCTGTGTAGTGTCAAAAGGATGCCAAGTCCTTTTCATAGATGGTGTTAAGATTTTGAAATCAGATATCTTTCCATTTCATTTGCATCCTCCAGCTCTGAACACTGATGTTGAAGGTTCTATCAGGGAAGAGTAACCTTATACACACACTGTTATATGTTCCCCTAAGAATCATCTTCTGCTCAAAGGCAGGAAGCCAAGATAGATGGACTTTTGAGTGACCCACTGTAGCTGTTAGAGAGGAATATTTCATTTAAGATTTTCTTGCTGTTCAGCTTTCTTCAGTTCCAACCAGCTTTAAAGTTTGAAGTTTCTAAATTATAACAGGTGCAAGTACCTCATACTCTAAGTCAGAAAGACAGTATATTGGGACTAACAGGCCCTTTGTTTCTTTTTCTGCCTTATTGGCCAGCCAAGATATCTTTCAACATTTAAGACTTGTGCTGTTCAAAGGAAATGACTACATTTCAACCTGTAAAAAGGCTGCTCTCTCTCTGAGGTGAATCATCAAATATTCTACTGCCAAACCAGATCAGCTTTCAACTGAGATAGCCTAGAGAGACTGCCTTTGAGTTGCTTCTTAACGATGTGATTAATGTGTACTGGGTTAACATGCAGAAGGTATTAAAAAGTTCCAAACAGATAAAAGATTTCTGACTGTAAAACAAAGCGATCTGCTGTAGATGTGGTCAAAACCTTGTTCTTTCCTGGTAAAATATTACCGTAGCTGCATTTCTCTTTCTCTGGGTGACTTTTAGTCTTTACAGCGTTAAAAGGTTATTACTAATTTCTCAGATTTCTGTGGCTTCCATCTAATTCTGTACAGTAAATGTGTGTATTGAAGTAGATTGGTAGCAGATACAATTTAACAAACTCCACTGAGGAGCTATGGCCACTAATGAGTGCTGAGGAACTTTCGTATTTTTTTTATTGTTTATTTTTTATTATATTACATAAAGCTTCTTTCTCAGTGATTCTACTCACTTTATGCTGAGCAAAGTCTTTCTTCTGGGTAGCCATCCTTTTGCTTTCTAAAGACTCAAACCTCAGGGAAGCCATGTACAGGTCCTCCAAAAATCCTGTTTATTCTCATACTGCAGGAAGAAAAAATGAGGATGAGTTGAAAGCAGGAGCCTGCTCCTGAATGCAGCCTTTCCTTCCTTCTCCCATGGCCTCACTCTCCACTTACATTAGTATGAGCACAGTGGCTGTGATCTGAGAAGCCTGGCGACTGCTGTAGCTTTGCAGCTCACTCCGTGTTGCTTTCATTAAATTGAATTGAAAGGAAAGAAATAGAAAATAAATTGTTCTTGATGACTTTTTTAAGGATAAAATTTGGTGAAAGTGAGTGCAGAGAGAGTGAGGTAGGTCAAGGGTGGCCAAAGATTTGATGAAAAATTAAGATTCCTCTAGAGATGTCAGAATGAAGAAAATGCCCGAAAGGGAAATAAACACCGGCACTGGGAACCAAACCTAAATAGGATGGGAATTACTTAAGCTGCTAGGCAAAGTTTTTTCTGTGTTTTTTTGGAGTGCTTGTGGCTTATAATATTAGTTATGGCTTATAATGCTAGTTGGCCTCTTAACTGTGGCAGCTGTAATATATTGGCTTTTACTGTCGCTACTTAAAAATTAGCTGCCAGCAAAACCAAAATGCAAAAACAAAGACAGGAATTATACTCCTCTTGCCTTCTTATTACCTTTGATTTCTAAGAGGAGAAAAGGAAAAAAAGACCAAACCTAAGGCACTTTTATACTTTTTGACAGTACACCTGTCGGCTGCTTCACAGCTTTCCACTTTTGTGCTACTGCTTCAAAGCCCAGATTCATCAAAGAATGTCACTGAGGTCAGGATGTTGACTGCCTTTCAGCAGCTCTTAGTGAAGGATTCTGCAGCATTTAACTTGTAAACTATGGGAAAAATAATAATCTAAATAGTTTAAAAGGCTTTTTCTTAGCTGAAAATTTTAATGTAACAAGATTCTTCCACTGAAAGTTGTTGAAAACTAAGTGGTTAAATCCTGCTCTTTGAAGCAGCACCATCAGGGATAAATGGGCTGAGCAGCTGAGAACAGTCTCCACTGAGCTTCAAAGTGGAATGGAAAAGGGAAAAGCTGCAATGCAGTACACAGGTTATAGTCTTAATGGTTCCAAGAAGCTTAATAAAGAAAGAAATTACATCCTCTGTGGGTTAGAGCTTGCAAGTCTGCATGCTAGCAGGCTGAGACATCTGTGTTAATGCAGTCTCTGCACACACTCCGCAAAGAGATTT